CTATACAAATTGTTATGGGTAAGTTCTTTAGTAACTGAGTAACTGGTTGTGTCATAGGTACTAAATATAATGGGTATTTCGATTTTTCCCAAATTTATTTACGCGCAGTGTGTTTAGTAATTATATGGCTATTCCAAGGCACATTGAACAGGTGAGTATAGAACTTTAGCAACACCAACAAATTTCGGGTGTTTTGCCTGTTCATTTTACAGGCCTTCAAAACCCGCGAAGGTTTCTAAGCTGGCAGGATTTGTAAAAAAAAAAATTTTTGTTTGAGCTTCAAGGAATCGCCTAAGCACTATATCCAAATTAAATAAAGTTATATACAAAAAATTGCATCACCTTAAACTAAATTTTTCTACTAAAACTAATAGCATATTTTCACGCTTGCGTAATTCAATATTTTTTGCAAACACTAAGTTATATCATTCAAATAGAAATGCAAATACATTATTTAATTACCATCCAATATCCTGGCATTTTGTTGCTTTTTATAATATCATAAATGAATGCGCGTCGCTGTTCCGGTGTTAAATATTCAATTTCATCCGATAATCCGGCTTTGCGCAAATACAACCGCAAAGTTTCATCCTCACCGGTGCCATCGAGAGCAAAAGTTCGTTTGAATTCTACCGATTCGGCACCTTCCATGTGCTGGAAATCGTTTGGAGAACTAATGTAATTTTTATCCATATTTCTGTATGCCTTCGAAAGAGGTTTTAAGAAAAAACAAAAAACAGATAAGAATCATAGAAAATTTCGACTTCCCTTAACCCTTTATTTAGACTTCAGTGATTAATGAGTAATGGTATGCAGTCACATATCATAAAAATATGCGCTGTGAAACCTCGATATAACGACGTTGAAGGGGGTAGGACGAGCTCTTCGGTGTAAAATTTGTTAATATACAAAATCTTTCCACAACAAAAATAGAAAATTTTGGTTATACACAAGTGTAGTTTAGAGATTTTTAACGGAACTCTAACCGTCAACATATTCAGAATTCCCCACGAAGAGGCTTTTGAGTCGACACATCGTAGTATAGGGGCTCAAAATGTCTTCGTTTACCTATGTGCCATTTTTGTATAGAATATTTCGCAAAAATAATTTTTTTTTCAGGGGACTTTGCCAACATTTTTCATATTGAATTTTTTTCGCGTTTGTTTTATTAAGACTTGTTATATCGAGGTTTCACTGTAAGTAGCTATGGAAAATCGTTAGCAAGCTTACAAGTGGTAACACATACAAAAATATCTATACTCCGTCGATAAGAACTTTAAGTAAATGAGTTTTTTTCGTTATCAGCACAAAAATTACGATCGGATTCGCATAACGACTTATGGTGATTCACTTTGATAGGTAAATTTTCGCATTTTTTCTGTGTAGCCGTTGAAAGGAATATAGATAATAGTTACTGATTTCCTGCTAGATCTTTCAAACACTTAATTTTTTTTTGTTATCTGTATGAAAAGCTATTAAACTTTACTGTTTCTTTTTATTTATTTTTTTTTTTATGTTTGGTGTTCAATCAACCCAAACATGACATCAATCGATAACATGAAACGATAATTTTAACCGACCACTTTTCAGGTCTTCTTTCAAAGAAACAAGAACAACTATCTATTAAGCCGTTAAAAAATGCTGAAATCGCTTTTCAGCAACAACACCGACAGAAGACAGTTATGAAACTCGTATACTTGCTCTATGAATTCGAAATTTTGACTGACTTCAATTTGAGAATAAGCAGTTGGCATTACTCACAAAAATATTTTGCCAATAATTTTATCAGATATCGTTAGTTCTTTTATCAGTTTCTAATCACTTTGTACTCTCTTGCCTTTGTAGAAAATGTATTTGTATTGTTTCTACCTACATATGTACATCTCTTTATTGTTAATTTCTGCTTTATTAATTATTTTCGCACAGGTGAGTTTGCTTATCTAGTACATACAAACATACTAGCACCTCGCCGATGCTTATCAGCAAACGTGTATCAAAAGCAAAGTATCAAAATAATCATATCGATTGCTGGAAGTCACTTTCATTCTAATTTTGCGTGCGACAGTAGTAGGTACCGTAAACTCACCGTAGTTTTGGTACACACGTATGTACATATGTACATTAGGGTGGTCCACATTACCATGAATTTTGTAAATAATTTTTTAAATCTATCATCTCTTTGAGACAAACTAAAAACGCATATTTGGCCCCCAATTCCGCGAGTATATTGATTTTTTTTTTGTGTAAACTTACTGTCCCGCGGTGTTAGATGATAATTATTTTTTTATTTTGCCGATAAAAGTTATATCCTAACTTTGCCTGCTAACAGTTATTTCCTAACGTCTATTTTCACGTTGTCTGATAAAATGATTCAATAATACAAGGTTCGATAAACTGATAGTTGTCTCTCTCGCACCGCTCCCTTAGCAGTGGCACAGTGTTGCTTCTTTGCAAATTTATTTGGAAAAGTGTAGCTTTGCAGTGAAATAGAAATATAAGCTTTGGTGCAATATGTTGCAATATGAAGCACATTTAACTGATGAAAACATAAATTGTTTTTAAATTGGATGTTTACATAAATCTGATAGTAGTTTTATTTTAACTTTGAGTCCTTTTGCATTTTTTATACAGTTAAATAGACATAGTTAACGTAATTCACGTAGACGTATTTATATTTCGTCCAATACTTCGTTTAAACTGCCAGACTTCCTGCAAATACATTAGAATTTACAAAAGGAATTTCACCACTAATTGCCACTTTGAGCACATAACATACTATAGAAGAGACGCAGGCCACTGTCAACACCAAGACGTCCAAGGCATTAGACACACACGGAGTCTTAATTCAAATGCTGAAAAAAACGACGGCCTGTTGGATTGTCTAAATCACCGACACGCAACACAACACAACAAGGCGGCGCCAGGGAATCTTACTGACCCATCTCGTTCCTTTTCCAACACAGTTAAGTGAAAGTCTGAATCAACGTCAAACTTGTGATAGGACACTAGTAGTAGAGGGTGACCTGTCGAAGGAACGAAATTATCGTTCTTCAAGCCCTAGAAGATCAGAATTCCTGAAAGGGATTGCTGCAAAGCGATAATATCTATGATTGACGAAGGATCCCAAGTATGGTATATCGATGGATCGAAGATGGTCGATGGGAGTACTGGGGCAAGCAAAGATACCATGTTCCAGGCGGAAGTCTTCACAATCGAAGTCTGCGTTCGCGGATGTTTTAGTGCCAGAATAAATATTATGTCGAATAGCCAGGCAACATTGAAAGCCTTGGTCTCATGCGCTTGGCGCCGCGCTTTTCTGTGGTATATCTAAGAGATACAATGCAAAGCTACTTAGGAGCTAGGAAGAATTTCTCAGACTGCTGGCCACTCGCGGAAGTCAAAGGGAATGAGACAATCAAAGACATCCATAACTCCTTCCTGGAGGAACTCCGAAAGACTCCTTCAACTTAGCCGTGAGGGTGTTAGAGTGATTACAATCAGGCTTAAGCACAGTAGATATTTTTTAGGTCGCAGCATGAATATACCCGACGTAATAATAGAAAACACCCAACACCTCTTTGAACGCACCACCAACGCGACGACCCTGAACTTCAGGATTGCCGACTCACAGGACGAAGAAGTCGGTGCATGGCATTATCCCTGGGGGTTTAAGCACTTTTATTCTAACCACAAAAAAACTAGAACTTTTGTTCATCCATCTCAAATGACACAAACAACTGTTCGTTCCCACGACTGTCGGGTCTGGGTAACCGGAACGAACCAAATTTATATCTGACCAACGACTGTCATTCCATTAACACTCCTCAAAAACTCTATGGGGAATCTATATGCTGTTACAACAACAAGAACTAGTTCAATTAATACAATTAGAGGTGCGTGTTACCACCCTGGAGCAGCTGGTCTGATCAACGTCCAAAAAGCGTTTGTTTTCTAATTAGCTGGTATTGGATTCATGGTTATTACTTCGAAACATGACTAGAGATCATCAGGGTAGAAAGGGCACAAAACGACCGCTACAACAACAACAACCCATTGATCCCACGAAAGCCGGACCGGAACGACCCACATTTACATCTGGGCAAGGACTGCCACTCCAGCACCACTCCCCAAAAACTCCTGCTAGCTAATTTAACTTTCAAGATGCCGTCATCGAGGCAACAACGTGAAATTCTGGCCTCGTTTCCGTACACATATTTATAATAAATTCAATAACATCTTTCTGGCTATTTTTGACTAAATCCCGAAGTACGGGAACTCAGACTTGACTTTCAAGTTCCCTCTCGACTTGAAAGGAAAATTGATATCGAAATTACGCTCTGAAGTGAGAGTAAAAAGTGAGTAATAACAAAAAGTACGGGTACAAAAGAGTATTTTTCCTGTAAAATCGTCAACCAGTGATCGCTTGACATTTTTCATGATTTTACCACTAGAAAAAGTTCGGGTCAAATCTTGCAACTTCAACAACTCTCCAAAAATCGCTCTCATTTACAGGATTTTGGAGTATGGGATCATTGTAAATATCTGTAAGTTCATGGTGTCCTGGATCAGGGTTATTATATTAAAGGTGTTGCTTTGATATCCCTTTAATTTTGTAGATACGCAACAATTTCTAGCGCTCAATTAAAAGAAAAAATATGCAAAATTTAAATTAAATTTTCTATCCTTTGCGGCGCCCTGTAGTTGAACACACTCGCTGGCGCTGAATAGACTATTTCGAACACCCACCACCAGTAGCAAATGTTGGCGATTATAATTTTTTAATAATTTCATACTTAAACTTTGTTGACACATCGGGTAAATCACGCCAACAAATATCTATAATTTTTGGCAATTTTTCTCTGCATTCGCATGTGATTTTAACAAAGTTTAATGCCCCTCAATGAAGTGTCTTAATTTTCATTGTTTCGCAAGCAGCGTAGCAACTCCGAAAACATTCGGAAACGTTTTACCCGAGCCGCCATTACGTTCAGTGAAGAACGTGCCCCTGTGAAAAACTCGTGTCGTTGCACAATTGGCAACGAATTTTAACGCAAAAAGTGGAAAATATTTCCAAAATTCATTAGAAATTTACAAAAACAATCGCGCGTAGTATTTTGCATATAAAATATGTGAAATTGGATAGTTTAAGTGGAGAAAACACGTTGTGAAAAAAAGTATGCATTAATCGAATTTGATCGATTTTGGTGAAAAAAAAATTTTGCTGGTGCTCGCCATTTACCCGATCCGACAATCTCTGGCCATTGTTTTTGTTTCTCGCTCGGGCGCATACCGTCTAGATATGGTGCGAATGAGAGGTCGGTAGTGAATATGATTTTTGGGCGCATATGGCGTTTCGTGTTACGATACGGTTGTGTGTTGTATATGCAAGCGAACTGTGTTTAGGCCAGGTAGCTAGCTGACTCGTACAAACTTCTTGAAGAGGAGTGATGGGTGTATGTGTGAGGTTGTTGGCTGGAGGCGCTGTCGTGTGTAGATACGATACGGTAGCGCGAGCGCGGAACTGGTACGTCGGTATAGCAAAACGATTCATTATACGTGTCGGTATTGGTGCATGGGTGGGGTAGTGTTTGTAACGGCTGCTGGATGGCTTGCGCGGCGCAGTTGATTTCGAAAATTCGGAGTTGGGTGCGAGTAGGTACGCCCGTGTATATTATTTTCGGAACTTTACTTTTCCGCAACCTAATGAGCGTGTGCGCGAAAGAGTTGAAAATGGTAGCTTTAAATTGTATGAATTCAATTCGGAGTTCGGCAACGTGCTCGATTCGGTTGGTATCGTTTGCCGTGGGTAGTTTTTGCGTTTTCCGCTTGGCTCTGTTCGATTTATAAAAAATTTTGTGCCTGTCATCGGCTTGAATTCATATGAGTGTAAATGCGACAACCCGCGCTGTGTATGTATATTTTCCTTGTCGGCGCGCGCGATCCCTGCCGAGAACGTCGACGACGGCTGGGCTTCCGCCATTATGGCTTTCATGCCAAAACCACGCTATTCCCAAATTTCTTAAATTTTGTTTGTAATTTTTACGCAAAGTTAAAATGTATAAAATTATGGGAGCTATTAAAAAGGGTTACTGATACAGCGGAAATTTTATTTATTGCATTGTTGTTTCATAAATCTCTTGTTTTGTGGTGTGAAATATGACGAGCATATTTTTCTGTTTGCTAGGAGGACCTCGTTTTTTCATCAATTTTCGTGTTTTTTTCAGCAGTACGTTGGTGCTCAGCGAGCATATGTGAATTCGCCGCATAGTTTTTGTTTTGATGAATTCGCCGTGAGATATCGCGTGGCGTCGTTATCGTCTTGACCGAGTGCGTCGTTCGCTTGACAAGGCGCTTGTGTATGAATATAGAAAAAACTTTTAGTGCAACCGCCTTTTCTTTTTTTTTTTTTTCAAAAATCGCGGTAGCATCTTGCATGCCATCCTGAGTCAATAACTCTCGGAATAAAGCGCTGAAAAAGTCTGTGTTCCTAATTTAATCTTAGATTTTTTGAAAGGTGGAGAATGTTCGCATTAAATTTATAAACAAAATCCATATCTTCACGCTTCTTCCTTGTCGGTTGCTCTTAAATGTTTTGACAGCCTTGTGCCGTCTGGCAGCTGTCAGTTTAATTCGCTCAGAAACAGATGTAAAACATATGTAGAAAATAACAAAAAAAAAAAAACAAATATTTTATTATTTTTTCTTTTAATCTATACAAGGAGTTTTGAAGAGTGAAGTAAAAAATTTATTGAAATAATCAAAAAATTAAATCAGTATGAAGCGGAATTAAAAAGTTAGCCTTTTAAAAAGGAAAAGTTAAAAAAGGCGAATAAACGGCAAGGCAGAGTAACAACAAACAAACAATTTGTAAACAACGACCTAGCCCGTACAGCCAAAAGTAGCAATAAAAGCTAAAGCGACAGCGAAAAATCGCACTGTATAAAAAACAGTGTGGATCAAATTAGTGTGATAGTAAATTTAAACAATCAGAATTAAAGTACTACAATGTTGCAATGAAATGTGCAAAAGTCATCGTTGTAATTATGTCCATTCATTTGATTTCTTCGATTTCAACGTGAAAAATGTCGTCGATCCGATTGCTGCACCGCTCGTCGTTGTCGTTGCTACCACTGCAGTGCTGTAATTGCAATAACTTTATCGCCTACATTTTGTTGTTGATAACATCGCTGTTGTCTACCACGCTTTGCGCTATCTATAAAAGCGTTAGCAAGAAAAACAACAATAACAACAGATCTTGCCTTTATCATCACAACCAAGACCAGCGAAAGGATAGTTGTAACCATCCATTGGCACTGAAATCATCAAATCTCGATCACTTTTACTGTTACTGCCGCTGCTTAAACCAATTAAATACTACAACAGCTGTTTCTACAAGAGGGTCAGTAAATCAAAGCACTGTTACCGATTGCCAAACATCTGATACATACATTCTCACACCGCTCACAACTGCTGCCAAGCACAGCGCCAGCAGCAATTGCAGTAGTAGCAGCATCAGCTGGAATTGCAGTGAAAGTGACGGCCCACTTCCGATAACTAGGAACAGGCATTCGCAACAGTACTCACATAAAGAGGAGCAGCAGGTTTTTTACCAATCAATTGATTGCTGCTGCGCCAATAAAAGCAAAAACAAGAACATTTGCAGGAGTAGCATAAGAAGCTCCGTTCACAACCGGAATATAGACAGTGATTGCTACAGTCCAAAACGAGCATTGTATATTCGGTCCAATACTAACACCTATACTAGGCAGCTTAGTAGCCACATCACCACATCATCAACCCCTGAAGAAGCAGAAATAACCGCGACGGTTATAGTACCGACGCTTGTGGATCTCACGCACCCATCCTTGCATCCTACATTAACTCCAAATAGCAACGGCAAAAACAGCCCACTTACCTCCAAACACCTGACTAACAACAACAACAACAAGCCGTTTTTCAATCCTTCAGCGCAGAGGCTAATCAGTAGCAGTTCAACGCCGCTGCTGCAGGAGAATCAGCAGTCTACGCATTCCAACAGTGATTTTGGTGTATCGACGTCGTTACACGTTTTGGTGCAACAACGAAAGTCAAAGTCACAACCAAGAAAACCGCAGCAGAATTTGCGTGTTGGTATCATAAAATACGCTTAACTAAATTTAAATCGAGTCTAAACAACACACAGTAGAAACGGATAATTTCATATTTACGGAAACAATATTCATTAGTAAAAGCCTCAGCAGCAGAGAAAGCAAAAAACAGTCAACGAAACCATCAAACGTGTTTCATTAACAGCTGTTTTTGCCATAACCAATTTGGTACAACTGTAAAACAAATATTGGATAACCAAGAGGGCGATTAAAGTAGAAAGGTGTGAGAAGAATCAACAAAATCAGTAGACGAATCAACTAAAAACCACCGTTGCATCCATAAACAGCAAACACACACACACATACACACAT